CAGCGCGACCCCGCGGGGCTGCAGCCCGGCGGCGCGCCCCTCCTCACCCAGCGCCAGGAAGGAGAAGACCCACTGCAGCACGGCCGCGGTCTGCAGGCGCCGCCGCAGGGGCAGGCGCAGCGGGGCGAACTCGACGCACATGGCGGGGCGGCGGGGCAGCTGGGAGCGGGGCGGGCGCCCGAGCCGGGGCTTATCAGCCCCGCGCCGCCCCCGCGGCCCTTCCCCGCCCCGAGCGCGCACGAGCCCCGCCCGCCGCCTTCGCGGCCTTGCCCGGCAGGCCGGGACCCAACCGGTGCGCGCTCGGCCGCAGGCGCACGCGGGCCGCAGGCGTGGCCGAGCGCCCAGCGAGCGAGCGAGCGAGCGAGCGAGCGAGGGCTTCCGCGGGGCGCGGGGCGCACACGGAGCCGTGCCTTTTGCTTCCTCGTGGGGTGGCCCCTGCGCGGAGCCCTGCGCGACGAGCGCCACGCAGCCACGGCGAGGAGGAGGAAGAGCCAAGGGCGACCGGCAGGGAACTCGCGTGCCCCCGAGGGCCGGGGTCGGTGGTGGTCCGGCAGCGGGCTCGTGCCGGGCTGCGTCCCCAGTGCTCTGCGGTGAGCCGCATTGCTGAGGGCAGTGGAACCCACAGGAGGCAAGCGGGGCACAGGCCCGGGGCGCCCGAGCCCTGGCAGGGGTGGGGGCGGAGCAGCAGCAGCAGCAGCAGCTCAGCTCCTCCATTCCGCCCTCCCTCGTCTGGCCTGAGAGCTCTGAGGGGCGCCTGGGGCCTCTGACCCGCCAGCCCGGGGCCCCCAAGGCCTGTCTGAGGGCCACGCATGTGTTGGCGACGTGCTTCTCCCGCGTCCGCCAGGTGAGGGGCTCCGGTGCTGGGGCAGCCGAATCAGGTGAGGTGCTGGGGGCCCGGCGGGGTCAGCCTGGGAGGAGTTCCAGCTGGTGCAGCTCAAGGGTGAGGACAAGGCGTTGGGCAGGCGCCCACCAGGACATCTGAACCGCAGGGAAGAGCCGCTCACGGCCCCCTCCACAGGACACCCCCTCACATGCCTGGAAGTCGCAAGAAGATCTCCTCAGAGTCTCCTCTTCTCCGGGCTGAAAAGACCCCATTCCATCGGTGCGAAAACCACACAATGAGGACACCCGACAGGAAGGAAACAGACCCCTTGAAAACATGCTGCTGGAGGAAAGCTTTGTGAATACCTGGGCTGACCGAGAGAACCGGGGGCCCTGGAACAAGTAAAGCCAGAACGTTCCCCAGAAGCAAAAATGATGGAGCAGAAGCTGGCGTACCTCAGGCACATCGTGAAGGCAGGACTCCCTGGAGACGGCAGTCTTGGAGGACCAGCGAAGGGGTGGATCGGTTGCAGAAAGCTTGCAAGAGCAGAGCAGGGCTGGAAGGGCAGGGCGTTTGGGAGACACTCATTCCGAGGGTCGCTTTGAGCGGGAAAGGCCTTAATGGCACAAAGCAACAATTGCCGGTTGCATTATTGTCCCTGCTATGAATCGCAGCTTCAGTTGCTGGGCTCCATAACAATGGGAAAAATTAATCAAAAACACCGCCTGTTGAACTTGTGCCTGGGCAGCCTGTGAAACTGGCCCAACTTCCAGCTGAGACCTCTTGCACAGAGCTTCCCCTGTGAAGGTTTCGCCACATGCTGGGCCGCTCTGGGCACCCGCCAGATGGTTGCCTATGACCCACAGGGCTCGCATGGCTTGGGGCCAGGCTCGCTGGAAGACTGCCTTCTCTCCCGCGAGGAACCGAGCCGGCCAAGGCTGCCAGCCCTTGGGAGAGGCCTCCTTCTCGGCCGGGCTCTCGTGCCCTCGGGGCCCATTGCTGCTGCATGCTGTGCAAAGGGGCGGGGGCACTGCTGGGGTCCAGCCTCCTGGGCAGGGGCTGCTGCTGCTGTGCAGGCCAGTTCTGTGGCTTCCTTCCTGCCCCGGTTGGGCATCTGCATCTGCAAAGGCAGTCGGGGTGGCCACCACCAGTGGCACCAGCAGGCGGCACGCAGGGGCAGCCCTGGCCCGGGGTGGCGCGTCGCTGTGAGCGGGTGCTGGTGGGAGCGACCTCCGAGGCTCCCCCCCACCAGCCCGGGCTCCAAAGAGAGGCCTAGCAGAAGTCAGCTGGCTGGGCAAGCGTAGCCTGCAGGTCCCTGACTGGGGCGGCGATGGAGGGAGGGTGGGCTGCCCCAGAGATGCCAGGGACAGCCTGTTCTGGAGGGGGTGGACCTCTCCCCTTCCCAAGGGGGGCACAGACTGGGTCAGGGTAAAGCCAAAGACGGCGTGTGCGCCTGCCGCTCTGTATGGGACTGGTCAGGAGGCAAACTGCTCTCTGCAGGGCATCCCATGGCACTGAAGGTCGCCAAGGCAACGGGGGGGGGACAGGAGTCCGGGGTGTTGCTGTGGGCTCGCCTGGGCCCGAAATGTGTGCAGACCAGCCCTGTGGGCAGAAGTGGCTGACACTGCCTCAGAGCAGGGACTCGCCTCACCTCGCACTCCGTTCCTACAGGAGCAGACAAAAGAGAAGGGTCCGAGCACCCCCACACCCCTGCTTGTGCTCCCGGTGACTGTGGGAATGGGATGTGGGACAAGCGCGCACTGCTGGCCCCTCCAGCACAGGCTGCCGGCCTCCGAGCAACGGGGTGCCTGCGCTGGCTGTGACTCCGAGAACAAACCCCGAAATCCTGACCCTTCAGGAACACATCCGGCTCCATGCTTTGATTGGGTAACCTCCCCGAGGGATTGGGGGATGCTGTGGGCACCAGCCACCTTGACTTTGGCAAAGCGTTGGGCGAAGGGCCCGCGGTCTCCTGATTGGTGGCCCAGCTCCAGGTGGGCTCGGTGCAATGCCTGTCGGGCGGATCCACCGCTGGCCGCAGAATCGGACACCGTTCTCATCAACGCACCATCCCAAACTGAGGAGAGGAGACCAGTGAGGCACCGCAGGGTTCAGTCCGGGGCTCAAGGCTCATCAACGTATTTATTAATTATTTGGATGAGAAAGTGCAGGGAACAATGATCAGATTTTGCAGATGACACAAAAGGAGATCCAATTGCTAATCCCCAGGAAGACAGAAAGAAGATTCGAGGTGATCTTGATAATTTGGAGGGCTGGGCCAAAAACAACAGAATGACATTCAGTCGGGAAAAATGCCAAGTTCTGCACCCCGGAGAACAAAACCAAACGCGTCGTGCAAGATGGGGAGTCCTTGCTTCAACAAGACTGCAAGTGAGAAGGATCTTGGATTTGCTGCAGAACACAGGCTGAACGTCCACGCTGGGATGTGGTTGCAGAAACGGCAACGCTGCCGTAGGCCACATTGGTAGAAGCACCACTTCCAAATCCTGTGAAGCCTGACATGATCCTCTTCACGCGTTCTTGAAAGGCCGTCACAGAGAACGATCAGGACCTCTCTTCCATCATCGCAGAGGAGAAACAGAAACGAGCGAGGAGAAGGGACTCCTGGGCCATCTAGTCTGACCCCCGGCTCCAGCAAGCTCGGCTCATGACGCGCCTACCATGTACGTGTCCAGCCGTTCCTTGAACAGCCTCACCGATGGGGCCTCAACCACCTCCTGTGGAAGCCCATCCCGTAGCAGGGAGTCCTAGTCACCAGGAAGGACTCCTGGCATCCAAACTGAAACTTGGTTTCCTGAGTTTTTCTCCATTACAATGATGAGCTGTGCAGAAAAAGCTACTCCAGGAAGGCTTTTTCAAAATTGTCCTATTTTCAATGGAACTGTAGCCCTATCTTAGGGTTAGGGGTGGGCCCCAGGCTAGGGTTAGGGTTAGGAAAATGAGGCGTCTTGGCATGATTTTGATGGTTGGAATGTGTTTAGAATGTGCAGAAATGATGAGCAGTGCAGAAAAAGTTACTCAAGGAAGGCTTTTTCAAAATTGCATTATTTTGAATGGAACTTTACTCCCATGTTAGGGTTAGGGTTGGGAAAACGAGGTGTCCTGGCATGATTTTGATGGTTGGAATGGGTTTAGAAAGGGCAGAAATGATGAGCTGTGCAGAAAAAGCTACTCAAGGACAGCTTTTTCAAAATCGCCCTCTTTTCCGTGGAACTTTTGCCCTCTACAGTGGTACCCAGGTTCACAAACTTAATCCGTTCTAGGACTCTGGTTGTGACCCAAATCGGTCATGAGCCAAGTTAAATTTTCCCATAAGGTTCAATGGAAATAATGTTAAACCGTTCTGTAACGTTTTTTTTTTAATCCAAAAAATGTGAAGCAAAGTGGCAAAGAACAACAAGGATCATGGCCATCTCCCCCCCCCCCCCCAGCACGACCACGTTCGCACCCATCATCCCGGCGCACTGGGGGGAGGGAGAGATGGCGTGAACGGGGCACGCTCAGTGGCCTCGACTCGTCCGAGCTTTCGCATGGCGGGCCAGTGCGCTGTCTCGGTTACATGTATGTCCCCATGTCCCTTCTGCTACCCTGTTTGAAGAGCGGGACCTCTGACACCACCCTCCAGTCCCCCGGAGCGTCACCCGTTCTCCACGAGGCCTCAGAAATGGGGGCCAGCGGGCGCGAGAGAACCCGGCCAACGCTCCGAGTCCTCCCGGGTGGAGCCCGTCAGGGCCTGGCGCCTTTGTAATGTCCGATGCCCTGAGGAGCCCCTCGACTTCAAGGGGCTGACTCTAATCGGTGCCCCTCAGTCCCCGGCCTCATCCGGTCCCCCAGGCAGAGCTCCCCCGCCCTGCTTGAGGAGGACACGGCGGCAAAACAGCCATTTGGACGTCGCCCTGGGGCAGCGGGTGGCGGGGCGGCAGCCACGCAGCACGGCAAGGCCAGCCAGGGGGCTCCTCTCTGTGCTGGGGGCGTGGGGGGTGCTTGTCTTCCGCCACCCCTCGGCCACGGCACACAGACATTTCACATTCCAGCCTCTTCACTGTTCCTTCCGTCCGTCCGTCCGTCCATCCACGTCCTGTACCCGCCCCCCCCACAGCGGAAGCCCTCCGGGTGGTGGACGGGAGGCGTGCGATCCCTCCGTGGGCGCGATTCGGCTCCGGCGAGGTCCGGCCGCTTCTGCGGAGACCGTTGACGTCTCGGGGCCGAAGGAGGCCCGGCCAAGGGCTGCTGGCGCTGCGCTGCTGCTGGGCCTGGTTCCTCTGGAGAGGGGCAGGCTCAGAGGGCCACGAGGTCAGCGCTGGTTTGGGCCTCCACCAGGATGGAGCCGGTGGGGCCGGCCCGGAGGGACCCCTCCAGCTGCAGCACCTCGGCCCGGCTCGCTTCCGTGGGCTCGGCCGCCAACACGGTGACGTATCCCAGCCTCGTGCTGCGCAGGAGCTGCTTGGCCCAGACCTGGGAGGGCACGGAGTGGGCGACTGAGCATGCGCCTGCCCCACACCCCCCCGGGCTGCAGCCCAGCGCGGATGCTCCGCTGCTGGGGGGGAAGGGCACCTTGTCTGCCCCCCCCCCCCCGCAGCCAACGCTTTCAGCGTCCAAGGCTGGGCACTGAATTCAGACAAGGCCGGGCAAGAACGGCTCCGGGCAATCGGGCAGGTGCCTCGTTGGCCGCCCTGCCTCGCCCTTCCCGCGGCTCCCCCGGCAAGTGGCTCCCCACCAGCTCATCCCCGGGGTGGCCCATCTGCAGGATTTGGAAGGGGGCCCAAGTGCAGAAGGGTGGAGGAGGGACCCCGGCCCGGCTTCTACAGAGGCCAGGTGGCCCTCGCTGCTCTGGTGGGCCGTCTGCTGGGCAACCTGCCGGGAATGCCAGAGCCGCTATTCCTGGCACACTGGCCAGGGCCAGGGTGCCAGCGCCTCTTCGGGTGAGGATGGGAAAGGAGGCCTGTGGACAGGGATGGCGGGGGAGGGAGAGCGCATCCCGAGGTGTTCAGGCAGGCTGGGGGGGCTCCAGGAAGGCCAGCAGGACGCCCACTTCCTGCCCGGTGCCCTTCCTCGTTCGTACCCCCATTCCACGCAAGTCGGCCCCCAGTGCTGCCAGGGGCTCCAGTCCCAGTTAACGGACCAGGGCAGGGAGGTGCCGCGGAACGGCCCCCATCCCCATCATGCTGCGGGCTGCGGGGGCCCCGGAGCGTCACCTGCTCTCACCTCGATGCGGATGGGCTTGTGCGGCTGCCAGCGGCAGAAGATGGCACCGAAGTTGAAGTCTGGGTCGGAGGAGGCCTTGTGGACGCCGGACGTCACCTCTTGTCCCTCGCAGCAGGCCTTCACGTAGACGTCCGGGGCTGGGGGACAGGGCACCCCGAGGCCTTCAGTCCCAGCAGAGTTATGGGCCCCCCAAGAGCGTCAACAGGGGGCAGATCCAGCAGGCAGGGAAGGCCTGGCCCGGGAGTGCCATCTGGAAGGCCCATAGGGCCTCCCTCCCGAAATGCACCAGAAGCCGGCCCGGCGAGCTCAGCAGCCTCCCGGCCGGCAGCTGCAGCCAGCCTCATGGCTCGGGAGATGCCTGGGGCCGGGTGGCGTGGGGGTGGGGGCGGCTTGGTTCCCAGGGGCCCCGCATGCACAGGTCGGGGGGGGGCGCAGCCCTGCCTGGGCCGCTCCAGCTCCACGGAGGTCCCAGTGCGGACTCACCCTTGCTTGCGTTGGGGAGCACCAGCCCGGCCGCCCGCGGGACCCAGACCGAGGTGACGAGCCGTGGGGGGGCCGCACAGCAGCAGCTGCACCGGCGGCCTGGGGGCTCATGGCAGTCGACAGCCCTGGGCAGCAGGGAGAGAGGCGCTCAGGGAAGGCCTGTGGCCCTGGGCTCCGTCGGGGCGGCTGGGGCTACTGCGCGTGCCCCAGAGGAGGGCCCCTGCCAGGAGCCCACTGCCCGTGCCCCACCCCAGGGAGCGAGGGGAGCGTCTGCCCGCAGCTCAATGGGGCTGCCGGGAATTCGCGTCGGAACCGGCGGGCGAGGAGGAAGCGGCACCGCACTGGGCTCCCCGCGCCCTTCGGCCTTGCCTGGGGCCAGAGGAGCCAGGCCGGCCGGCCGGGGGGGGGGGGGCTCAGCGGTCGGGGAGGGGCGGGCTCACCGCAGCCGGGCCGGCCGTGTGCTGTAGACCCGCAGGAGGAAGGCGCCGCTCTGGCCTGGGTCGAAGGTGGTGGGCAGCAGGGCGTAGCGCCCGGCGGGCACCTCTGCGCGGAGCAGGACGCTGCGAGAGTTGCTGTAAGTGGCGCCGGCCACGCGGGCCGGGATGCAGTGCAGGCGCCAGCGGCGGTTCTGCTCCACCTGCAGAGGGAACGGGGCCCCCAAGTGAGCTCTGACACCCCAACTTCTCTGGAGGGGAGAAGCCCGGTGTCGCTGCGTCCTGCACGCGAGCGTGCGCTGTGACGCCGAGCCGGGCCACGGGCCCCCCGTTCCTCCTCCCACAAGCGCTGCCTGGCCTTTTGCCCACTCGGAAGAGCCCTGCCTCCCAAAAGGCCTCTGGGTACCCCCCCCCCGGGTGGAATATCGGGGCTGGGGCCATCTAGGTTGCCCCATCAGCTCTCCCGCCACTACAAGCAGTTTGGGGGTGCCCCCTTGCCAAAAGCTGGAGGAGCCTCTCCGGAGACTCAGTTCCTGGCCGGAAGAGCGCCTGCTCCGAGGAGGCACCACTCCTTCCATGCCCCCTCCCCACATGCAGCCTGAGAGCTGCTTTGAAACACATTTGCCCCAGGGCTGATGGAGGGCAGTGCCCCCCCACCCGCTGGGCTCGGGCAGTTCTCTCTGGCACAGCAAGGCAGCCTCCCCCAAGGGCCACAGTCGCTCTCGCATCGCTCAGGAATGCCCCCGGGCCCTGATGGCCCCCTCAGGGAAGGGGCTCGGGGTCCCCCATCCCTCTGAGCTTTGGGTCACGCGCAGATCCAGGGGCGCCATGGCAGTGACTGATCGACAGAGCAACTGACTGACTGGTGGGTTTGTGTGCCGCCCAAGAGCCAGCAGCAAGAAACCAAACCAAAGCATTAATCTAAAAGCAAAATCCAAATAAAAAGGCATTCACTCGGCGGCATGTGGGTGCCAGTGGCACCTTTTCCGGAAGGGGATTCCAAAGGCGAGTTGCAATAGCAGAGGAGGCCCCTTTCCTAGCTAATTCCCCCTCAGCTCCTTTGGGATCCGGTACATGAGGGAGGGCCTTCTTGATTACCCGAGGGCTCCGTTAGGGATGCAAGGGGACTGGTGTTCCTTTGGATATCCTGGTCCCAAGCCGTTTGAGGCTTTGTGTGTGAGCAGAAGCACTTTGAATTGGGGCTGGGAGTAACAGGCAGCCAGTGCAGCTGGTGGAGGACCGGAGTGACCTGTTCTCTGGGAGCGGTCCTTGTTAAGGACCATGCTGCTCTGTTTGGCATTGGCTGAAGTGCCCGGACTGCCTTCCAAGGAAGCCCCACGGAGAGCTCGCTGCAGGTTTTAATCCAGGAGAGGTCCCTGGCATGTGGACAACTCCGGCGAGCCACGTCCAGCCTGGGGCTGCCCAAGTCGGCAGAAAGCAGTAAGGAAAAGGGGCCAGTTGCAGGAGTCTGGACCCAGCACGGGCCGGCCTCAGTCGGAGGGCACAGGGCGGCATCAGGCCGAAGCCTTTCTGGGCACGGGCGGCTTCTGCCAAGCAGCCCCGGGCAGAGCAGGTGCCAGCCTTCCCCGACCGCATCGCCAGACCCAGGTGCGTCCGCTGCCGCCACGTTTCCAGGTTGGTCCCTCCGTCCTGTGGGAGCCCTCAGCACACCCAGGCCACCGGCTGGCCAGCAGTGCTGGCCCCTCCCCAGAGGGAGGTCCAGCAGCAGGCCAGCCCCTCCCTCAGCCCCAACCCAGGAGCGTGGGGGGGGGCCTCCTTCCCGCCCCTTAACCCTCTGGCTCGCCCTTGTCCGAGGTAGCGATCGGCGGACCCTCCTGGGGGCGGGCCAGACCTCCGCGCAAGCACAAGAACTGACCCACCCCGCCAGAACCGGGTCCCAACTCACCCTGAAGAGCTCGAAGCCCATGAAGAGGTTGCGCCCCCCCGTGCTGGACCCCCGCAGCTGCCGCGTGTCCTTCTGTTGCAGCGAGATCAGAATGGAGTCGGGAGCCTTCGGCACCTCAAAGAAAAACTGGGGTGCGGGAGGGGGGCAGGGCGTCAGCTCTGGGGAGCACTCGCCACAGGGAAAGCGGGGAGCGTCGGCCTTGGGGGCTTCCCAAAGGTGCCCGCGAGAGACCGGGAGGGAGAGGCCGCCTGCAAGCCGCAGCCAGGACCCCGTGAGGCCAGGCAGGCCTGCGACTGGGCCGTGCCCAGGGAGGAGGGGCGGGCGCAAGCCTGCTGAGGGGATCCACTGGCCCACGGGGATGGTCCGGCGTTCGAAGCAAGCGCTGCAGCCGCGAGCGGGGGCCACCTCGGCCCGTCGGCGCATGGCTGAGCGCAGCCCTGCAGGCCAGCCGGCCCCTCACTGCCGCTCAGACGGCTGCCACCCTCCCACCTGGGGGTTGCTGAGGAAGGTGTCCCGGTGGTTCAGGCAGCCGCCCGCGTGGCCCTTTTGGGGACTCCACTCCCCGAACTGCAGACTTTCCACCCAGCTCCGTCGGCAGCTCAGGCGTGCCGTGTTCATGCGCCAGCAGATGACAATGTCTGTGAAATGGGTGCAGAAGTCCTCCAGGCACATCCTGACGGGCAGACAGAACAGCAGTGGAGTTGAGGGCCGGCCTCTTCGGCCAGGATCCCGCTGCCTGCCGTCCAGTCCCTGGGAGCTCTTCGCTCTGCGGGCGCCCACAGCTCCGCTCTGGGCACGGTGGCCTCTGTGGGGCGCAGACCTCTGAGGCGGCAGCCGCCGTCCTCCAGTTCACAGGACCCGCGGCCCCGAGATGGGGCCTGACAGGCTGCAGCCCTTGAGGCTCCAGGACTTCTGGGGGATGCCCCCCCACTGGACCTACCAGAATTCCCCGTCATCCTGCACTGTGACCCCCATCCGCCGTCGCTGCCGCTGGCTCACCCGCTGCCATTCTGGGGACCTGCAGGGAATTCAGGTGGGTGGCAGAATCAGGCCGCAACCCCCAATCCAAACGCTCCCAGCCCTCCAAACTGCCCCCCAAGGGAACGCTGTCCAAGCAGGGAGCGATGGCTGCCCATCGAGGCGGCTGCACGGGGACATCCTGGGGGCAACTCCGCAGGCGCGCATCCAGGCGCAGGGAAGGTGTGTGGGAAGGCCGTGTGCTCCTGCCTGGCTCACCGGCCTCCCTCTTCTGCGCCCGCTGGCCTGGGCGGCTCTGTCCCGTCCCCACGCAGCCCCACGTGGCCGGCCGGGGATCATTCATGCGGCACAAGCGGCTGCTCCCCCCCCCC